CTTACCACATGTCAGGCACTGTGATTTTCTCATTTAATCCTCCCAGCCACCTCCATGTGTTCACTCAGCAGTTCCCAAACTTGTCTATACATTGGAGTCACCTGGGGGACTTCCAAAATCCTTAGTGCTGCATCCCATCCCAGAGATTCAGATTTCATCGTGCTGGGTGAGGTCTGAGCTTGGGAGGATTTATAAGAACCCCAGGGGCTCCTCATGGGTGTACAAATGGGGAAGTATTATGTTTGCTGCTATTTTGTCCCTCTTTTACTGATGTAGAAGTTGAGGAATACTAAAGTAAGTAACTTCCCAACATCATGCAACTGATAAAGCTGAGATATGAATCCAACTCTGCCCAGGGTCCAGACTTTTAACTATTTTATCAATAGAGATAAAAGATCTGTTTTGAGATCTACTTCCCTCACCCCACCATTTAACATCTATCATAAACCTGTTTCTATGTTAATAAACACAATTCTGCATCTTCATTTTAGTGACTATAGTGTTACATTGCATCAATGCATCAAATGCCAAGAGCTATCAATTTTCCCACTATAGAAAATGTTGCGACCAATATCCTTATCGATACATCTTTGTGCACATTCTTTGTGCACATTTATTTCCTTAGGATAAATTCCAAGAAAAGGAATTGCTGGGTCAAAAGGTTTTGATAAATATTGCCAAATTGACATTCCCATCAGAAGTGTGTGAGAGTGTCCTTGCCAACACTGAGTTCTGTCATTTCTTTTTCTTTTTTAGTCTTAATGTGTCTTCCTCTTTATATCCTTAGTTATAAAACTTATGTTCAGCTAGACTTCAGACGGTTCTTCAGGTTGATTGTTCTATAATTTAATTGTAATTTTAATGTGTTTAAGGAAGAATGCAGGCACGGTGTTTATTCCGCCATCTTGGGTTTTCCTTTGTCATTCCTTTTTTTTTTAAGCTGAGCCATCCTGCTACCTGTTGGCAGCTCAGCAGCTGCTCAGCTCGGGCTGGACTTGAACCACTGTTGCTCAGAGCTCAAACTCTTGAGCGAGCTCTTAACCAACTGAGCCACTCGGCCGGCCCTTTGTCATTCCTTTTTAATCTTTGCAAATTTTATTGGAGAAAATGGTATGCCATTTTAATTCCCCTTTCTTTACTACTAAGAACATTTTTTTCATGTTTATTGGCAATTTAAATTTCTTCTTTTATATATTTTCCTATTCCCATACTTTGCCCATTTTTCTAATAAAATACTTTTGTTTTTCTTACTGCTCTGTAGGTCTTTATGTATTAAGGATAATGAGTCTTGTTGCAATTGTTTTTAGTTTTCTCATTAACTTCATGGTTTTGTGAATTTAAACTTAAAATTTTCATATAGTGGATTATATTCTTTTTCTTTATTCTACCTTTGATACTATGCATATAAATATCTTCCCTACCCTGAGACTAGATAGTCTCCTATATTTTTTAGTTCCTTTATCATTTCTCTGTTTTTAAAAAAATCCTTTTCATTATTTAATGAAGCAGTTCCCAAGCAGGATTACACATCATAATTTCTTACAGAGCCTCTTTACATGCTCAGATCTTAAGACTGAATCGAAATTTGCAGGAATGAGACCTGAGCAGGCAATTCTGATGCACCCCCCTCCTTTATTAAGAAAGTATTTTAATCCTTCTAAATTGGTATCATTTTTCCAAATTATTTCAGTGCATTTGTTAAGCACTAAATAATTTCATGAATTTGAAATGTTACCTTTATCTTATTTGGTAAGCTCCATGAGAGCAGAGACCATACCTGTTTTTACCAACCATTACCTCTCTAAGGCCCAGCATAGTGCCTGGTGCACAACCAGTGTTTCACAAATGTTAACTGAATAAATAACACCTGACAACACAAGTCTCCAACTTCATCCCATCCGAAACTGGTTAGTCTTCTCTTCAACATTTTCTTGACTAATAAAACTGATATCATTAATAATGACCCTTAGTTATAAAAAAATACTAAGTAATGCCTAGGACACTCTGTTTAAAGTGGCCAGGAAATGGATTAGAGGGTTTCATCAAGTGAAGTCAAAATAATAATGTTGGCCATGTTTAAGAGGTATGGGAGTTTTGAGCCAGAGCATTGACCTGAGAGACTAAGGAGGCTTGGCTTCCTCTAGTTCTTAGAGTTCCTCAGCTAGCTCCAGAGACTGACTCAGAGCTCCCTTTAGCTGAAAGGCCCACACATACCCTCTTCCATGAGCTCATGGAAAGAAAATTAGAATAGACAATCAGGAGACCTGAGCTTTAGTCCTGTCACTACTATCAACCTGTTTACCATGGGCATGTCACTTAACATCTAGGGGTTGGGCTACATGTTTTCTAAGGACCTCTTCATCTCTAAACCTCTACCTAAAGACCCAAACAGACTACCACAGGGCTTCGAAGGACAACATGAAATTCCCTCCATAGAACAGGGTCCCAGTCTCACCCCAGGCTATAACAAAATAATAGTAATAATAATAGTAGTAGTAGAAGAAGTATAGTAGTAAGAATAACAGCTATTGCCAAATTTTAACACGCATATGATACACAATATTCTAAACATCATACTGCTAGTAACAACAGCACACACACTTATAGAGCACTTATTATGTTCCAAGTGCTTTGCAAATATTAACTTAATTAATCTTCATGACAACCATGTAACATAAATTCTATTATTATCCCCATTTTACGAAGGAGAAAGCTTAGACACTGATAGGTTAAGAGACTTGCCAAGGTCGCACAGCTACCAAATGAGGGAACCAACTGCGTTGAACCCAGATCCATGCTTTTAACTACTATACCACATTGCCACCCAGACTATCACTGTACTCTGCTTGTAACTTCAGAGGTTGCACAAAACAAGAAATGAGCTGCAGTTACTCATGTGGAATACTCCCTTCTTTACTAATACCAGAAAAGTAGGTTTTACTACAATGTAACTTTAAGCAGATCAGATTTCAGGGCCTGGGACAGCAAAATATTTTATTAAGAAAATAATGACCTTTTTATTAAGAAGTGTTATCCATTAAAATGTTTGGATTATAAAACAAATAAATCATTAACTACTAATAACATTTTCATTAAACACAGAGAAAACACACCAACTCTTTATGCATCATTAGGAACAAAACTTTATACCCCCACCTGCACAAACTCCAGTTCCATACTTTCAGAACTGGCTTTTAAACAATAACCTGACAGCCCACAAGTGTCTCAAACAAGACAGGCCAAACCAAACTCAGTACACTAACTTCCCACCATCTCCATGTCCTTCTCTCCACCTCCCATGTTCCCTATCTCAGGGAATGGCACCACCGGCCACAAGCACCCAAGCTGGCTGTCAACCCAGGCTCGGTTCCTCCCACATCCAGTCACAGAACATTTCTAGAATTCATCCCATTCTCTCTGTCCTTGCTATCACTCCTTCTGCTCAGAACTTCACCATCTCTTCCCTAAACCACTATACCCAAAACTTCCCAAACGGCTCTTGCTTTCATTCTCTCTGGCTCCAAACCCACTTCAACAGTGCTGCCAAAGTCATCTTTATAAAACAAAATCTGATTATGTGACTTCCCTGTTTAGAATCTTTGTCTTCAGGATAAAGTGTAAAATCCTTCCTAGAACATACAAGGCTCTTTATTATCTGGCCTCTGACTACCTTCCCTGCTTCATCTGAGGTCGTGCCCCACGAGGCAAACAGAGCAACTTGGAAGTTCCCAAACAGTGCTTCTCTGTCTGCCCAGAATGCAATTCTCTCATTTGCCCATCTGGCAAACTCCCACTCATTTTTTTTAGACTGGCTCAAACCTCAGGGTTCATTATGCTTTCCTCTGGGCTTCCATCGCATTTTGCACCTCTTCCTACTATAACACTTATTCAACCTGACACAATTATTTGTTTATATGTCTGTCTTTCCCATAAGACAAGGAACCGTCCAGAGTTCCATGTCTTTTTCATCTCTGTATTCTGTTGGTTGAATGAAAGAATGTCTCAGGACTTAAAGAAGAATATTCAAACTGCTCCTGATAAATACCCATTGTGTGAGTCAAAGTGGCCATACAGGCTGAATCCCATTTTAACAAATATCTTTAACTTGACAATCCTCGTACATCAAAAATAATTGTTATATTTGTGTGACTACATACTTGAAACCATGACCAACAGGAGGCAGTTTTAAAAGACCACCAACAAACTTACCTGTTGAATATTTATAGACATCTGAGCTCTTCATTCTACCCCATCCTTAAACTTTTGTGGGTCATTGACCAATTTGGGTAGTATTTGTCTATAATTTCTTAAACCCACACTCCCTTTTGATAAACATAAAAATCCCACATATCCCTGGAAATTACAATACTCTTCCAAAGGGCCAATCCTCAACCCTCCCAAAAGTAAAAAAAAAAATAACTGTGCATGGTAGGAATTCTCAGGTTCACAAGAGATGTAAGACATCAGGTAAGATATTACTGAGCTTTGTTTTCCAGTAGTTCACAATATTGAAACAGGCATTTTCCTTCTATCATCAAATATGAACATTGTAACATTAAATATGCTTTAAAGTCTTTACTGGGAAGATGACGCCAGTGAGGTGTTGACATCTCTCTCCCCCACCTTTGAGAACCTTATGACAGAAATTTGCCAGAAACAAATGAAAAACACAAATAAGAAAAAAAAGTCCCCCGTTTCCTCACATATAACCCCACAAGCACATGTTCAAACAAAGGGAGTTCTTTGAAAATGTTTCTGGCTCTACATTTTCCTGCTACTTCCCCCACCACCCTTCTTTCCCCACTTTAAAATAATGTGACCTTCTAACTAGCAGCGGCTTCTTTTACACTAATATGCTTTGTCCTTACGAAGACAAAGGGTTAAATTAAAAAAATACCTGGCTGCCTGCCATGGGGGTGGGATGGGGGGGGAGGCTGGGTAGGTAGAGATGGAGGAAAGAGAAGGAGGATAAAACAGAGGAATGAGTGCTATTTTCTTACCCTGCCACATGGCCATGTTGATCCTACCCTCTTCCACGTTGGGGTCACAGGCTGAGTTTCCCAGAGCCCCCCAGTTTTGTAGGGAGGCTTCAATAGAATGTAGATGGAACAGCAACTGTGTGGTCTTACTTTCTGCCAGAGACTCAAGCCCCAAACCTGAAAATGTAAACAGAAAAAATGAATACCTAAGTGACAAAAAAAAAACACCTTTCAAATCCTTGAAAATTACATCCTGTCCCTTCCTGACCCTCTCTTTCAAAGATATACAGACACAGGCACAGTGTCAAGTTCCCCCTAAGCAGAAAGGGATCGCTGAGGAAAGATAGAATGGGAAGATCTAGAATCAGTTAATATTGCCACTGAGTGCTGTCCAATTCTGCATGAATCACTGGATCATCAGTAAATGGGCTTTGGAATCACAAAGGATGGGTGGTTGGATGAGATGACCAATGACCAACCGTTTAGCTTCTTTCCTATCTTGACGTTCCATGCTTCGGGGAGTGAAGATAAGCATGATATCCAATGCCCTTCCCAAACCCCCAATCACCCAACTTTACATTAAAAATCAGTAGAAAGGACAGCAGATTTTGTGACTATTTAAAGTTTTAAAATAGATCTTGTATAGGAAAAGAAAAGAAAGGAAGCATAATAAAAAGTTAAGAGTGATGCCCTCTGTGTTGTGGTTCTTCCTGTCCACTTCATTGTACTTTCCCACACTTCACCAATGTCCTATAGGGAGCATATATTGCTTTTATAATTGGGAGGGGAAAGAACCAAAGAAAAAGAAAACTGTAAAAATAAAATACTAATTTAAGTAAAGCCAAATTAATTCAGCTCATTCCTATTTTTAAAACGTCAAATTCAGTCTTCGGACAATTCTATTGGGTTGTCGGAAAAGTCATGACACATTTTTGCAACGAAAAACATAGGAAAAATACGTCATGACTTTTCTGACAACCCAATATTTGCAAGGATATAAAAGGTCAGTGCTAGAAATGGGAGGAAAAAAAATAAAAGGTCTATTTTGTTCGATTCAGAGACTTAATACATTAAACACTTTGTCCATTTAAACAAGTTCCTAATTAATAGATTGGTCTTCCTTAATTAGCATACAAGCCAACCTGCTTTTTTAAAGATAAAGTCCTCACCTTTTTGACCTGGTGAACATCAAAGTAGATTGCTATTTCCATAGCTTTTGTAGAAGTAACACCTCCACCCTGAAATGAAAGTGCTAGTGTGCACGTACTGAAGACTAATATAAACTTGAGAGTCATCATTTTGGCCTTCTTTAATGATTTTTTTAAAAAAACAAAAGTGTGAACGTGTACACTAGTCCCCAAAACACCAATAGAGAAAAGACAATGCTTTTGATAAGAAAAAGTTTGCAAAGTCCAAGAAAACTAGGAACTCACAAAGTCCCAGGATGGATTCACCAGGAAAAAGTGCTCCGATGACTTACTTGGAACCTGGGACAGTGTTTGAGTTTGCTTGCTTTCTTTCTTTCCCTCTTATTTCGCGTGCAGTTAAATAGTACTGATCTGCGCCTGGTGGAACCAGGCAAAATTTAACGTCTCTGAAATCCAGCGGGGTAACTGCTAATAAATGTATGAAGTTTATGTAAAGCAGATTCTTACTGGCTTTTTATGCTCCACACTTCTGGATTTCCCTAACTTATTCGAGGTAGCTTACACTGACATTATCACATGGGCACACGCAGCACTTCACTTGGCAGTCCAGGAAACTGATTTGCTCTGAAATCTATAAAGGCAAACGCGCATCAGTGCGAAGGTAAAGCGCTTCGGAGTGAAGGCACTCAGGCGCAAGCCTGTACACTCTGGAGAGAACCGGCCACCCGCGTTTAGAGGGAAAAGAAAACTCTCAGCAACTACTTTCCCGAGAGTATGGACTCCACTTCGCTAAGACCCACACCAACCTGTGAGTGCAGAGCAGCAGGGAGAAGAACGGGGCCTTGACAGAGTTTTACCAGCCAAAGCCACTCTGCCTCAGTCCTGGAAAGGGGACGCCTGCAGCTAACCTCCCCCATTCAAAAGCGAGGCGGGCTTGGCGCCGCTCCGCGAGAAAACTTCGCTGGGACAGCGCAGGGACCCTTGCTCGGACACTAGGGCTGGGCTCCCGATAAGATGCCGCCCTGCACTGGCTAGAACTAGCCGGTCTAACTCCTTCGAGTGCCAGGCGGAGGCGGCCAGGCACGGGGAACCCCCATCTCCGGGGGGCCGAGCCAGCGGGGGAGCGCTTCCCGGTGTCGCTGCGCCCAGGGGGTGCTCCAGGGGTGGGTCGGGGGCCAGCGGCCCGCGAAGGACCTGTTGGGGAAGGGACAGCCCATCTGTCTTTACCTGTCGCCGAGGTCAGGAGCGGCGGAGCCCGCACTCGGCGGGCCGAGCGCACAGGCGGCTCTGGCGTCCAGAACACCAAGTTGAGCTAGCGCCCCACGTACCCGGCAGAGCTTCATTCACAGCCTGGCTGGGAGGAGGGGGAGCGGAGCGGGCGCGCGGCTCATGTGACAGGCGCCTCGCCAAGTATCGGCCGAGCACAGCTGACGTCTGCGCGTGCGCGCCCCCACTGGCCCTCTCCCGGCACCTCAGCCAAGTGGAGAGGGGGCAACGCCAGCCCGGGAGGCGGCGGGGCCTTGATAGCAGCCGAGAACGAGGCGCTGGGCGGGGTTTCCGCGTGCGCAGCCGCAGTAGGCTGGCCCTGCTAGCTGCCATATTTAATGAAGTATGGGCGGGTCCTAAGCCAGTGCTGGGCGTGTCAATTGCTTTTGATAGACTCAAATACTGCGTTATGTTTCACTGTTTCGAGCCTGCGGTACTTTTTGTTTGGTTTTGTCCTTAGAAGGAAACTGTTATCCTGAGTTCCTGGCCCACAGTAATTAGTAATAAAAAACCGAACCCTAATTGTTATTAGGTCACCTATTTTCTGCCTATAATTATGAGTGAAACACTGTTCCAAGCCCTTTACTTTTTTCATCTCATTTAATGCCCACAATAACCCCATTGGGATACGTACTATTATTTCTCCACTTTTATTCATAAGGGGAAAAGGCACAGAAAGGTTAACTTGTCCTAGCTCACAGGGTAGGAGTAAGAATAGTGATCAAATACAGTGATGCTTGCAAGAGCCAATTTGATCCTCATGCAATACTGGAAAATCTACACTGCAGTTTACAGTATTTTATCCGTTTTAATAACTTTTTTTTAAGATTTGTTTTTATTGGAGAATTGGGGTATGGGAACAGCGCTGGGGAATTGGGGGAAGGGGAACAGACAAGTTGCTGTCCTTTCATTCTTCAGTCTAGTTGTGGAGGACGTGGCTTCACTGGCCCAAGTTGGCACCATCATTGCGCTCTTCCCGGGCGAGGCAGATCAGCTGTGGCTTCTGGACTGCTGATCATGCTGGCTGCTGGCTACACACGGTAGCCCATGGCAACCCACTAACCCACTGCAGCAGGGGCGGCAGCCTAGGCTGTCGCCGGCGACTCACTCACGGGCTGCCCAGCTCCAGGTTGAGCTGTTGTTCAGCATCTTAGCTATAGAGGGCAGTGTCACTGGCCCTCATATGTGGGATCCGAACCGGGGTGCTCTGGCATACCAAGCCAGCTCTTAACCAATGTGCCACTTGGCCGGCCCTCCATTTTAATAATTAAAATTAAAACAGAGGCTCAGAAAAGTGAAAACCACAGGTCTTAGTAAGTGGTAGAACTGGAATTCCAACCTGGGTCTGCCTGATGCCCAAGTCCTTACCTTGGTACTGGAAGAAACATCCCTTCATTTTACAGAAGAGAAAACAGGCTGATGGGATGCATTGACTTACTTAAGATGACCCTGCTATGGGGCCAGCTGTGTGGCACGTTGGTTAAGAGTTGGCTTGGGACGCCAGCTCTGAGCAGCAGGGCCCTGGTTTGGATCCCACATGGGGCCAGTGACACTTTCCTCTACAGCTAAGATGGTGAACAACTGCTCCGCTACCATGAGTGGACGGCAATGGCAGAGGCTGCAGCAGGGCTGCAGTGGGCTGCTGTAAGTTACCGTGAGTGGCCAGCAGCCAGCGTGAGCAACTGGCAACTGACATGAGCTGCTGTGAGCAGCTGTCCAATGGCCTGCGAGCAACTGCCTCACCTGGAAAGAGCGCACCGATCACAATACAAACATGGGCCAGTGAAACGACGTCCTCCACAACTAGACTGAAGAACAAAAGGACAGCAACTTGTCTGTTCCACTTCTCCGATTCCCCAGTGCTGTTCCCCTCCCCCAATTCTCCAATAAAATATTTTTTTAAAAAAAGATGACCCTGCTAATAATTAGTTATTGATAGAACTGAAACTGGAATTCCATATAATCAATCCAGGTAATCTAACTAGAACCTTTCTACTCTAATTCAGTGTCTACTGTAGTGAGCAATTTTGAATGCCTACTCTGGACAAGCTAAGTGGTCAGCAATACAAAACGCCTAGTCAGTGTAAGGCCACCAAAGACAAACCTCTAATACGAAAAGTCAGGCTTTTTGACCCTTTTCAATGACAGAGACCCCACACCACAGAAACCGTGGGACATCTCACCAAACAAAGAAAAAGAGTCATTATAGGAAAGAGTGGAATTTAGGTGAATTTTAAATGAAGCATTGTTTTGGTAAGCTCAAAGCAGGGCTGTGTGAAGGGGTCAACATCAGGTCTGAATTGTGAAGTGAATCCAGAGTCCTGTTTCCTTGGGAACCACAAAGTAAAGATAGATGTGGAATGTTGTCTTGATACGTCTTATCTGAAGCTCTGCACCTGGATTGGAAATTGAGGCTGCCTCTCTGTGTCCAAGAAACTTAGTGTTCTTCAGACAAATATGGGATGTTTTATTCTCACTACTGTGATTTTAAGTAGCAAAGTTTCTGATAGTCTCTGATTATAGAAAACAAAGTTTCTCAGTGAATAAAAAAGTGGTGATCACTCAGATAAAGGGGGTTGTTATCACTTTACAGCTGCAACTTGCCTTTGAGAGAAATATCTTCCCTGTTAAACTTACAGTTAGCTTTATCAGGTGTCTGTTGTTCCAGCCTGATGAATGACCAGATTTTTGCTTTCTCAGTCCAAGCTAACATTTACTTTTTCATCGGGTAACATTTAGTCCCTGCCTTCAGGCACTCATAGTGCCTGGGTTGGAGATATCCACAAGTAACTAGAAATAATTATAATTAAATAAATTAAATTACATTAAAATTAATTAAATCAGGCAATGCTGAGTCCTCTGATAAAGGTAAATTCAAATTGAGGTAAAACCATGTACAAAAGAAATCATGTGGGCTGGCCCAGTGGCTCAGTCTGTTAAGAGTGAGAGCTCTGAGCAACAGGGTCGCCGGCTCAATTCCCACATGGGCCAGTGAGCTGCGCCTGAGCTAAGCTGTCACAGAATTGGTGAGAGCACAACGTGCTCTTAGCAGCAAGGTATCCAATTCAACACCTGTATGGGGTGATGGGCTGTGCCCCACACTACCCCCGCAACTAAGATTGAACACAGCACCTTGAGCTGAGCAGCTGCGAGCTGCCAATGGACAACCAGATGGCTCAGTGTGCAACAGGGTTGCCGGTTCGACTCCTGCATGGAATGGTGGGCTGTGCTTACCACAACTAGACTGAAAGTGGCAACTGGACTTAGAGCTGAGCTTGCGCCCTCCACAACTAAGATTGAAGGGAAACAACTTGACTTGGAGCTGATGGGTCCTGGAAGAACACACTGTTCCCCTTCCCCAATTCCCCAATAAAAATAAAAATAATAAATAAATAAAAGGAAGAAAGAAAGAAAGAAAGAAAGAAAGAAAGAAAGAAAGAAAGAAAGAAAGAAAGAAAGAAAGAAAGAAAGAAAGAAAGAAAAAGAAATAAATCATGTATGAAGACCTATGAGTAGTCCTGCATGGTTGGAGGTTAGGGTAGGTGGGTATAGGGCAGATATAACCAGAACCAATTTTGGAGGATTCTGAATGTTGACTAAGATTTGTACTTCACTTAGAAAGTAATTTCAACTGTAACTGAAAAAAGTGAAAAAAAAGTGATTGAACAAGAATTAAGACTTTTGAGCAAGTTCCCTTTATTGGAACTCTTTTTTAAGGAGGTGAATCTGAGGTGTTTGTTTGTTTGTTTGTTTTTGTCATTGCAGGACAGGAGAAACTGGAGATTACCTGTAGATTGAACAGGAAGAGCCACTGGTGAAACAGGGATTGAAGAGGCACGAAAAGGAGAGGTTAAATAATGGAGTAAAATATGTGGGGAGATAGAAATGAGATGCAAAATATAAGCGAACTTTGGAAAAGATACCTCTTTCTCTGAGACAAGAAAAAGACGGATTGAAGGATGGCAATCTGGTTAGAAGCATATTTCGTGACGTTACCTTTAAGAGTGAGCATATTGGCTCCACTTGGATTACAGTACTTATTTGGGAGAACTTGGGCCTGAGTGATTTAAGGCCAGTATGAGAGGGCTGCAGTACACCCAGAATACCACTTGGTGTCGCCACCGACCGCTAACAGCTTGGAAGGCTCCGGTTGGGATTTTAGATTAAAAGCTCAATAAATGTTAGCTAGTGTTACTATTGATAATGGGAGAGGGAGAGGGAGAGGGAGAGGGGGAGGGGGAGGGAGAGGGAGAGGGAGAGGGAGAAAGTCTCCTTCAGCCTTTGGATTCCCAAGTTTTGCAGGAGCTAATTATATGGTGAATGATAAATGCCTATACAATACATTCCCAAGTGAAGTGGTTAAAGTGTGGTGCTAATGTAGCAAAGTTAATAATTTAATCAAGAGTTATAGATTCTGTTAACTCTGTTCTCTTCCCTATGAGAACCTTAGCCAGGTGTCCCTCAATTGTGCGCCAAAAGAAAGTAGATAAATCAACTTAAATGAGTCCTCTGCTCTCCTCCCCCTTCCTTGGAAAAACTGAAAAAATGTTCCCACCCAACCCCCCACGGTGGTCAATAGACTTTTGGTCAAAAGCCATTTCAGGTCTTACAAAGCAAAGAGTAAACACAATGTGATCTTAAAAGTTAATGATAAGAGAAAGAATAAAACAATGAATTTCTCTGTATAATGAAAGGTAGCATTTTAGGGTTAATTTTGCAAAAGGAAAACCTTTAGAGCGATAGATCACAGTGGCACCTAAACTGTCATGTCTAAAGCAGCTTTATCTTTAATTTTTGAAATTGTCATTGCAAACATAGACTGAAGTAAGTACTTATGTCATTTATGTTACATAAGTACATAGCCATGTAAAGCAGTAAGTCAATGCTTCTGGTACTGTTCTTATTGATTTATTCTACATTTTGTTTAAGCCCTTACTATTGTATCAGGTATGGTGTTAGCCCCTAGGGATACTACTTTTTAAATAAAATGTCTGGGGTACCAAAGAAATGCCTGGGATAGTTCTAGAAAAATGGGGCAGAATAAAAGTAAATGAACAAAGTTCTTTAGCTCAGAGATCTATCAAGACAGTAGGTTAGGAAATTCT